CAATAATTACACATTCCATATGTTTGAGGAAAGAAAACCTGCTGTAAACGGAGTGCTGAACATCATTCCAAGTGACTCTGGTAGAGCAACAATGACCTAGGGGTAATAAGCACAGATGTTCACAGCTAACCCAYTAAACTGATTTCTGTAAGCGGGTATCAATGCATCAAGGCAAAGACTTAATCTGTGAAATTACTAGTTTGGCATGTTCCTACTGTTTTCTCATTTTGCTTTATTATTGGTTAAAAGCCTAAATAAAACACCCATTGTGTCCTTGTGATTTATTTTTATTTTTATTTTTGTAGAATATATGTCACATATACTGTATATATGTGGGTGTCAGGGTCTTTATTCCCATCCCGTTCCCCGACTGCCATTTGGGGAGGGGGTCCTGAAGAAGGGCGGACCGCCAGGTGCGGTCCTGGGCTGTGGGTGGGCTTGGGGCTTGGACGGTCGCTGGGGGCTGCCGCAGAAATGAGGCTGGCTCTCCGTCCTCCCTGGTGCTGCTTGGTCTCCTGAGGTGTGGCTCTTGGTTCCAGTGGGTGGCCCGCTGGCCGGGGTGGCTGCTGGGTTCCGGGGGGTGGACGGCTGGGGGGGTGCACTTGGTTGCTGGCGGTGTGGTGGGGTTGTCATGGGTGTGGCTTCTCTGCGGCAGGGGGCTGGCCGGGCGTCCTGGTGRGGCCCGGGCCGGGCCTTGGCTATCTGCTCCTCTCCACCTCAGAATGATTGGGTCTACCTCCTGGGTTAGGGTGCGTGCGGCCTCCATTAGGGGGTGGGTACATGTCCTCGACCTGGGGAGTATAGAGTGTGTATCGGGGGTATGAGTGGAATGTGGCGTCGTTGTATGTCTTTGACTGAGTGGGGGTGAGGATGAGGGTGGGATGGTGCGATTGTGTATGTTTGGGTATTTGTCAGGCTGCGGTCTGGGCTGCCCCTACTGCTGGTTTATCTGGGGGCCCCCTGCTACTCGGCCCCCCGGTGGGGCTGGGCGCTGGGGGCGTGTGCCGGCCTGGCCTGGTGACTGCCTGTTGGGGTTCGGGGCCTCTGGGCCTGTCGGGCTTTGGCCTGGACGGGGTGCGCCCTGGGGGCCCAGACCTCTGTGCCATTTCCTGGATCTGCTTTGATATGGCGGGTGCCGGTGGGGCCCATGAGTTTGTCGCTGCTGGCCCCGGGGGCTGTGCGTGTGGTCGCTGGGGGGACTCTCCCAGTTCTCTCCTATGGTCTGATCTGGGGGGTGGGTGGGCGGATCTTCCCGTGCGGGTGCCCCTTGGGGCTCTGCGCTCGGGATTCCTCTCGGGCCCTTGGGCTCTGGTCTTCCCTGTGTCTGCCTCGTGTCTTGGGGGTTGGGTCTCGGTCCTCCACCGTCGCTATTGAATGTTCCACTGGAGAAATCTTGTATATACAGGCGTGTTCACAGCTGCTCGCGGGCAGGTGCTCTGATCCGGGGGTTCTGACAGGTCACTGAGTGTGTATATATGTCTATGTGTATATACAGACAGTGTTTGTGAGTGTAGGCATGTATGTATGTATGTATGTATGTCTTTGTATATGTATGGGTATGTGTATATTTTTATGTATGCCTTCTATGTGTTTGTCCATTTGTTTTTCGGGTGGTCGGACAGATGTTGGGTGTGTGGTCCTGTGTTTTGTTGGTGTATATTTAGTATAATCCTAATCGCTATTTCAGTCTTTCTATCTTTCTGATTACTRCTCTCTCTGTTTTTCTCTCTCTCTATTTTCTCTTCACAAAAAAAATAAAATAAAAAAATAAAAATAAAAATAAATAAAAAAACATAATGGGATGGCTATAAGGGGAGAAGGGAGGCCATCCAGAAAAAAAATTAAAAAAAGAAGAATATATGTCACAGATGTTCTGAAGAAATATTAGAAGAATGTTGGTGTTGGTAAGTTTAACAAAAAGAGATAATACTTTGGGTGAAACAGCTAATKCTCATTACAACTCCAAAACAGTGTTCTATGGTCCTGCATCTTTCTGTTTTAATGACTTGCTTCAAAGTGAAGCACGAMGTTCGTTATTTACTCCGAACAAGACTGATATATTGGTTTGACCTTTGTTATTGGCCGACCACGCTATTTACCACCATTCGCAAGATTCAGAGGCCTCCCACAAGATGAAGGATGAAACCAAAAGCAGTGCTGCAGTGAAATTGGATTTTTGTTAAACGTTTTCCCCCCTGTAATTTTAAACATTTCTCTTTTAAGACTTTTGTGTGCAAAAATGAATGGGTGAGTAGAACTACAAGATTTATAGAATAATAATTAAAAAATGATCTGAAACATCTGGTGTCTGCAGCAAAAACTGTAAATTGAGAGAATAAATACAAAGTGTCGGATTGATGTCCTATGCTGACAAAGTTTTGGGACTTAAATGGATAATTATTTTTGTCTGAAAYTTTATAAAGTAGTTTAATAAAACATTTATTTCCACAGACATTCACKAAAAAAGAAACAAGCAAAAAAGTTTTAAAAAAGTTTGGTCGTATTGACATATGAACAACTGACGCCGTTGCTATTTCTGTCAGGATTTGTGCCTTTTGTATCTCATATAAAATCTATTATCTTTTAGTTAAGTTTTATTTTCTGTGGTTGGTTCTGTTCCATTGTTCAAAATAAAAGTCAAAATGTCAGGTTTTGGGGGGTGTCTTAATATTTTGGTTTCCAGAGGCTTCACTCAGCATGTGGGGCTGTGTTTTTGATACAAAAGTCTCATCAATGTACCATATTGGAACTGTCTCAGTAAATGATATAGAATTGTTCCTTTGACTTGATGTACTGCATGTACACATCTCCTAAAGTCCTGAAACATTTCAGCACTTTCAGGACCTTGGGCAGTTCCTTCAGCCCTTCACACTGTCTAAAGCAGTGGTTCCCAAACTTTGGAGTTTTGACCCTCAAAATACCAGCAGCAGAGACCTGAGCCCCCAACTGCTGTTGGATAATAAACATTGTTTTCACGTCAAAAAATAAGAGCATAGTAACAATATTCATTATGCTGGTTTTGTCCATTTTAAGTACACTAACCTTACTCTTTTGTAACAACAAAGGCAAAAAAAATCATTGTTAGTTGGTATTTTCTAATATAATTATTTCAGAAAAATTTTTCAGGACCCCACCTTGATGTTATAGTACCAGGAAATAGGTGCCTGAGAGCACAAGTACTGGGCAACACAGGTACCAGGGAAACATTGGTGAAACATTGGTACTGTGGAAAATAGGTACCAGAAAACATAGGTACCAGGGAGTACAAATGCTGGGCAACACAGATGCTGGAAAACAAGGTATTGGGGAACATATATTCTAAGGAACACAGGTACCTGAAAAAAACAGGTACCGGGAAACACAGGTAAACATAGGTACCAATGAACATGGGTACCATGAAACGTACCGGTATACATGAAGGAACACATGTACCGGGGAACACATGCAAGCTACTGCTGGATCATATCACAATCCACACTTGATGTCTAGAATAGTTAAAAAGCTTGGTTTGGTCAAAGCTTRGTATTTCTAGTTGTAKTGTTTCTAGTTGTTTAAGTAACGTGAGCTGCATCAGTGTAACTAAAACACCAGTAGATATAGATATTATAATTGGATGGGTTTCGAGAGAATGTTAGGAGGACTTGCATAATTCATTCTGTAACTTTATAATTAGTACTGAACTACKACAAACAAGGGCAAAGCTCTCAACCGGAGACCCTTTGAAGGGGGAATAAAAATCATGTTTTTGTTGTTTATACAGGAGAACATTTTTCTATAAAGTTGATTTGATTTGAAAAATGACAGCAGAGCTGTCGTGTAGCACCAACAACACAAACAATAAGGAAAATACAAAATATCAATGCATCACTTTAGTTGCTCAAAATTAAATCAAACAGTAAATTTTAGAAGWCAGAGAAGTGACGTGACATTTAAGTACACTTAAGCATTAAAAGGCAAAACATGAATGACACTTTTATCTTCAATGATTGTGTTGAATAATAAAAGGATACCAGTAATTCAACTCTTYGTACGAAAGGGGAAAAGAATGCACATTTGCAATTTAACAAGCCTTTTTTTTCTTACTAAAAAGATCAACATACGGTTTTAAAGTTACAATAACAAGCTTGCTGTAGATGTTATTTACCAGAATTAATGATATTTTTCAAGTTCAGGGTCCAAGGTTATTATCTTAAGATACTAATTTAGCTTGACAATTGATTATTATGCTTCCTTGAGTGAACACTAGCAGGATTAATGTATTTTTAACTTAGCTGCACACTTTTTAGATAATAAGAGATCTCATAGACTTGAAAGGATGAGTCTTAATTAGCAACATATTGACTTTCTTATTGCTTGTTGAATTTTCTCCTTAGATCCTGAACTGCAGTTGGTATGCGAACAAATATGCTTCCATCATCACCTCATCAGTGGTGAAATGRTTTTCTATTATTTTTTCTTACATATCGACTTTCTTACCAGGACCGTTATCGTCAAATTATCCTAAAATAGCCCCCCGACAGAGGTTTTATTTTGTGTTGTACTCTTATCTCTTTAATAACAATCACCACAAAGCACAATCCTTGCACTTATTCTGAACGACAGAGCAGCAAATGAAGCTCGACCTGCCATAACTGGACTAATAACATTACTTTTGAGCTGTTATACAGATTAAAAAGCCTTTAGTAGGTTTGTTTTTTATTTGCTCCTTGCGTGAATTCTTTATTTTTTAAATGAAGAGCTACCAATGAGTCTTAAACCAATATATTTTTACATTCTGCATATTTAAAATAACTTAACATTTTCTCTTTAAACACGTATTGATTGTTAAGAGAGAAAATGTCAAAAAGGTTGTAACAACACCAGAACATAATCCCTATGAACAAACGCACAACTGAAGTGGTAAGTTCTGCTTGGCTGAGTTCAATACCAAAACTAATTCCCTCCTTTTCAACACTGTGTAGGAACTCTAAGCATTAAACTCAGTCAGGAGTATTACTCACGGTCACTGCAGAACGGTCCCCCGTAGGTGGTCATGGTGCAGTCACAAGAGAAGCCCTCCCACAGCTGCAGACACACACCTTGGTGGTGGCAGGAGTCCTCTGTGCAGGTTGTGCTCGGACCTGCAGGGCGTTCACAGCAAACTGAGCAACTGATTTTTACCTTCACTCCCAAAACTTGTGATTTGTGCTGCCTGTATTTTGTGGTGTGTAATGTGTTTGCAACAGTCAGGAATGTGAGATAATGTAATTTAATCCAATAAATAAATAAAAAATGGAAAGAAATTATGGTTTATCTTGAGCACCGAGATTTACTTCGCTGCACTCCTTTTTATTCTGAAACTTTGGCAAAAATAAGTAGAGCGTGTTTCTTAACTAGTTATATAATAAGCTAGATGAGTTTTTAACAATCAAAATATCAGCCTTTTTWAAAAGTTAAACATAATACTAAAAAGCAGAACAAATCATCAATAGATAGCCACAAGGATGGCCAGGGATCTCTTTACCTTTCATGATAGCTACTTAGCTATTAAACTATTTCYATTTTATGCTGGCTTCAGAGGATTTATTCTCTTTACATGCATTTTACAATGCTATATTTCTTCATTTATTTTCAGAATATTTCAAATAAATGGCCCTATAAAAAAAWTWAAYGYAWGGTTTTSCTGCCTAGTCAGGCAAGCATCAGGACACACCCACCTGCCTGAAGATGGGTTTTACCTGCCCTGGGCAGTCGGGCATTGGGATTTTGTCAAATTCTTGTAGCTATTATTCTAGTTATTCTTCATGAAAGCTAGCTTGCTACCACGTTACTTAACTTTTTATGATTGTTAGCAAACTTCCAGGCTAGATAGATTTCAAAATAGCGAACTAGCTGCTAGGTTATTTAGCTGTCATGCTAGTTTCATTGATAATATTTTAGCTAGCTTGTAGCATGGTTGGTTGGTTGGTTGGTTGGTTGGTCGGTCAGTCTGATAGAATATGATCATATATTTTGCTCTGTATGTTTGTTCAAATTTTGTAGAAGTTTCTTTAATTTCCTGGGACCATTTTTAAAGATAAATGTGCTTTTAAGAGTTCAAACAGTCTTTTGTTTATGAGATGTTTTCAGGCATTTTCTCATTCCTGGTCTCATGCTTGTTGTTTTTGTTCCTCTTTCCACTTTGCTTAGTTACTGACTGTGACATCATCTACTGTGCCACAGCTGGACTCCATTTTCATCACCCCYATGTTTGTTGTTCTCTTCTGTTGTGTTTACTTATGCAACAATCATGTTAAAAGTTTTAAATAGCTACAAAAATAATCTCTTTATGAATTTTTAAAGGAGCCCAAACTACAAAGGACTTTTCTGTGTTCACATATTTGCCTGGGAAGATTTTTTGGCTGTATGGAGCCTTTGCAAGTCTCTCTGATTATCAAAAGCAGGTCAACTAATGAGCAATAATTMTGTTATAACTGTGAGAATGTAAAATTTGAATAATACAGACATATGTGTTTTCTGGACACGCATACAGAATCATTCATAGGAGCTGTTTGGAACCATAAAAAATGGGGCATCAGTCATCGGTCAGTTTCCCTGGTTTCATCCACAATATGTCACATTGTAGTACAATTCAACAAGATTATATATCAAAAAACAAAAACAACAACAAAAAAAAAACAAGTCTGTTTTCGTCCTCACCTCCGCAGCCTCGCTCGACCTCTCCCACCTTGTGGAGAGCATCTGCCAATAAGTCGGGGAGTCGTCCATTCAAGTCCATAGATGCCAGGCAGCCCTTGTATCCTTCTCTAGAGGCGATTAACCTGGGCAGACTGCTGTACATGCTCTTCCCAACACCCCCGATGTACAACTCTCCTGCAAGAGTTTTATTCATTTTAATGTCAAATTTAATTGGAAAATYTCCTGTTTTACWGTGGAGCCACGGAGKGGTTCGAAGCTCACCTTTRAGGTCCAGGTTGCGGGCTCCATTGGTGTGTTGAGTGACAGTGCGGGAGTCGATCTTAAGCACGTGCACYTTGTTGTTGTCGCGCGAGATCACCACGTTGTGCCACTGATTGTCGTTGAGGGGCTTGTCAGAGTTTCCCTTCATTAGTGAKGGTCCGTTTCCCAAGTCAAAAACATAATGAATGAACCTACAAAACAATACATTTCAKCACCAGTTATTTTCTTTGCCCCATGCCATATGCCATTTAAAAATAARTTCAYCAMTTTATGTTRCATGGTGTTTCCYCTGTCGGGGTTTATAARCACTAATGAGCGTTATTAAGTCTCTCATTGACAATCAAGCATTCAATGCAAACAAACTGTCCAAATCTGAAGTGAAGCCAGCATGTCTTCCTTTATATGAATCCATGAGACAGAGCCTGGCCAAAACACAATCTTGTTAAAAATCAAAGTTAAGCACCATCAATGGAAAAAGCTGCTACATTTCACACGTAACTCCGAGCAGCCGGAAAACTATGACAGAAGTGTTGGAAGCCATTTTATTGTCTGTGTTGTCTCTGTAAGCTTCTGCTGCTGACTCCAGATCTGAACAAGGCCTCCTGCTGACTAATTGCTTGCTGGGAGAGAAAGTCTGAGCCTGGTGTGACAGTGGGAAGATATGTTCGTTGCTTTGCTGGCTCCATTTACACCACCTCACTCTTGCCTCGCTCTTTGGAACAAAAGCACAGCTATGATAAATAAATCATAAACATATTTATGTTGCTGTCGACGTGCCAAATGTGCTTGCGTATGGGAACAAGTTTGCTTTTGGTTCAAATCCAAAGTTGACTCTACTCTCCAGTTGTACCTATCATTTTATGAACACTCTATTCACTAAGAATGTGTAGCACCTGGTTTATGCATCCAATTGAACTACAATGTGCTCAGCTACAATTTATTTGCATGGTTTTTCATATTACTAATAAATAAACAACATTTGTTTTTCTAAGCTTTTAGCCAAGTTTATGACATTTTTGTGACACCACATCTATGTTTAAATGATAGACCTGGAGGAAGAAGATATCAATTAGTGTCAGCTTCCACTAATTTTTTTACCTGTTTCATTTAGCAGATCAGCATTTCCAATAACTTTGGAAACRGTTAGCAGATCAGCTAACTTCCACTAAATTTAATTCTACTAATTTTCAGTGCTGCACACCTGCGTTGTGCACCTTGTGTGTAGTATCTTTAACACTTTCCAACAGAACAACTTGTGGCTTTAACTATTTGGTGGATGTAGAATTTGTTTTTATGAGCTTTTAACACATACTTTGGTGTTTCTGATAAAATGACAGACCTTGAGTTAGTGGTTATCAGTTATAATTAGCTTTCACTCATATTTTTACCTGTATAGTGGTAACTTWAGCATAATTACCATATTTATTCATGTATAATACGATCTCATGTATAATTTGAACCCCGCTTTTTTTTTTTTAGCTTAAAAAGCATAAAAAATTTAATCCTTAAACTACCTCCAATTCCATACAGACTTCAAGATTTTTCAGCCTTTGCAGTCTTTATACATATCAGTAAAATGATCATTGGACTGTTCAATTTATTTTAACAACATATGTACTAAAAGGTATTTTGACAACACAAATATACATTAGCTGTAGCAGCATCATATGAATTCTGGCATTTTACACATAGTCCACCAGGATGCGCCAACACAAAAGTCAGAGACTTCACATGAGATTTGGGCCATCTTGTGGGGGGAAAGCAGATTACTTCCTACTCGTGAGCTCTGGTGGGGAAATGTTTTTTCAGGGATACAAACTTTTTCAGAACACCGGTAGACGGCCGCCATTACAGACGAACATGTGTTTGTTGTTGTTCGAGTAGGAGCGGCCCGGTCGCACGCTAATGTCATTAGTTCACTATCATTACTGAGGTGCAGGAATACTCCCCCTCTTTTTTTCACATCATGTCGCCTGCTTGGATCTGTTATTATCTCGCTCTGAAGCACAGAGGAGTGTCAAAGGTAAGCTAGTTTCAACTGCTTTTTACGACGCMGTCTCATTTCCGGCATTTTGTGAATGAAGCCGATATTTCGGTTAAAACACAAAAGTAAAAATATTTATCCAAGTATAGTACTACCCCACAACTTTATGGATGATTTTATGGATTTAATTTTACGTATTTTACTTGAATAAATACGGTAATTTATGTAATTAACATACTGGCATTAGCAAAGCTAACTTTTGGTTAGCTGTGCCCACCACTGGTTAAAATTAATAATGTTCCCAATAGCCATTTTTAAATCTTTCCACTTTAGTACCTACCCTTTAACCAGTTCCACCATTATGAAGTCACTTCCATCTCCAGAGTTGTAAAGTATGAGGCCATCAGCATTGGTTGTCTTGAACTGGAAGAAAAGGTGCATGGAAGCGTAGGCCTGCAGCGTGGAGAAGGCCAAATAACTTGCTTGAGTTAGAAAAGTTACAGGGTTGGCCACAATGTGCCGCATGCCAAACCGAGCGTTGAGCTCGCAGTAAGAGATGTCCCCATTCTTGCACTGGTCCAGATATAGCATCCCGTTGAAGGAAAGCGCTTGCAGATGGCCGATAAAATTGGAAGGCATCACCGAGATGAAGCGCCGCTCTGTCATGATTCCTGTCTCGATGTTGTTGAACTCCAGGCGGGTGTGGGCGCCGGTCATGAGGCCTGCAGGGCAAAAGCATTAATTTCAAACCTTCGTCGAAACCTGCATCTCTGATTGCACCGACGGCTACTCTACCTTCCACTGTCGCATTGTCCACAGATAGCTGCAAGCTCTTCCCACGCCGCGTCACCTTCACCGTGTGCCACTCGTTGTCATTCAGCTTCTCGCCTACAAGAAGAATCTCTGGTCCTTTGCCTGAGAGGAGGAGAGCGTCAAGTGACAATCATACTGCAGAGAATGCTGTATCTTTCCACACAAGCTCTCAACTTGAGAAGCACTTTCAGTCTGAATACATTCATTTACTTATCACTCACGCACACATTTGCACAAAAAGCAATAATTTAAATACACTCTCAAAAAAATTAGAAATCCACAAAGCGACAACAGTCTGTTGAGGAGTAAATATTTAAAAAGGACTAAAATGGCGTGGCTCCTCTGTGAGTGGTTTGAATGAGGCATAGTGTGAGGTAACAGTCGAGGCCTCGGCTCAAACGTATTTAAATTACGGTGAAGAATTTCTCGACTATCCTCTGCAATTTTCGGTGGTTTAAAAATTAGGTCACAGTGGAGAGGCTCGCCACTGCAGCACCGTCAACCCAAATCAGTGCCCATGCAACAGGCTGACACGGCGGTTCAAAGGAGTTCTGACATCGCTTGGGAAACTAATTGGCCATGCCTAAGCCGACTTCGCCTTCAGGGGTTTGTCTGTCTAATTGAGCTCAGGGTGCAGGAGGACTACAAGGGACGCACAGAGGGCAATAAATTTAAAAAAACACCAGCTGGTTTCCAAGCACTACACCGTTACATCCTATGGGAAATAAAAACCACGCCTGGAGACCTTGTCCGGGGCGGCATATTAAGTGTCTCCGCAGCTCGCTGCATGACACCCGACGTCCACCTGCTGAATATTGACTCTGCACTTCAGGCAGATCAATAACATCCAATCCTGCKACCTCTGCATTTGATGAATTTGGTACAAAATTGAAAAACACAAATCACACGCAGGAGTCATGCTCAGAAGAACAGAAATGTCTACCTTTCGAAACCTCCAATGTGGAATTAGACATTTGGATAGGATTTGCTGTTATAAAAGAGGAGTCAGTGGAGCCTGTTTGTCTAATCAAGGTCCTGGAGAGCCACCATCCTGCATGTTTTAGAGGTTTCTCTGCTCTAACACACCTGATTTGAATGAATAGGTGATTATCAGGCTTTTGCAGAACTTGAAGAGGAAATGGAATCATTGAATCAGGTGTGCTGGAACAGGAAAACAAAACATGCAGAGGAATAGTATTAGACATCTCTGATCTAATTTGTGGTTTTATAGCTTCTATTTGGGTCTTTCAGAGAGCTTCGGTGTGTGTGAAAAGTGGTAAGATTACCTCCTAAAGTTTAAACACTATATTATTTATATCTTCTTTTTTTAAAAAACTATTATAAATGTATTAAAACAAGATTAGATCCCGTTTTAAACATCTTCCTTCTAATTTTCAACAAACACGCTGTGATCAATTGTCTGTTTCAGAGCAGAACATCAGTTACTGTAACTCTGGTTTTAGTGATTAAGAATTTAACAAAGAATATTCATAAGAAATGTGTCATGTTTGACAAATGAGTCCTGCTCAATTATACATCAGCCTTTACATATTTCCCTTACATCTTAACACGTTGTACTGAATAATTCAAATATTCTACAGTATATTGTGTTTTAAAAATTGTACAGTTATTAAAACCTAATAAGTCCAACGGAGGTTTGGTAGGTTTGGCTTTTAATCTTTACCAGAATGTAGTTGCGCAAAAATATATTATATTTAATGAAGTAGTTTATTAGTTGACACTCAGAAGGTCTCACTGAGGTGAAAAACAGACACGTTTATTTTTGTTCACAATTTTATTTTTTGGTGTTCCTGACAAAGCCTAAAAATCATTCAAAACTATTTTTCACTTGCCAAAATTCTTTTAAATTCTCTCATAAATACCAAGTAACTTTACTGGCGTCTAGTGTTCCTTAACAGGGGAAACTGATCGTATTGAAATCTATTATAAATGCATTTTCTGAGGCCGTATTTATCATATAAAATAATGCATAATAATTCATTTCAGTGTTGTGTTTTTTCCCCTTTTACATCTATTCCTCTACTTTTGATTTTATATTAATTAAGTGGTGTGCCGTTTTAAAAGCTGCAGGCAGAGGGATTGAACTGTAAGAGGTTGGTCCTTCACGGCTAGATGTTGCTGTGGAGTTCCCTCTCTAATCTCATCTGACAAAATCGTTTTAGTTTGAATGCAAGAGCAAAACACTCTTGTTTTGTGAATGAGTTTAAACAGATGTGTACACATGCTGGCTGAAGAATCGGATGAAGAATCCTTTGGTTTGACAAAACAAGMCCTCATTTTTAGGCTTCCCAAAACTCCAAGCTGCATTGTTTTAAATAGTCAAAAATCCTTTTTGACAAATTAAAATMAAAACTTAGTGTTTTTTGTATATTTTCGTCTTTATGAGCATTCAGCCGCCTCCCCTCCCTGTGGATTGGTTGAGAGGGTTTGACTAAAGATAGATTTGCGGTTAAAACAGAGAAACATCTTTCACATCGATGGCAAAGGTTATAGAAGTGCCAGAATGTAAAGAAGTGCAATGAGTATTGGATTATATTCCAAAGAACTTATAATAAATTTTAACAGTCATTTGGATGTAATATTTTTATGTCATATTTTTATTTCAGGCTAAAATAAAAAAAAAGACTAAATATTTTATTATGGACAGAAATATTTGAACAAATAGTATTCTGAAGCAGTTGTGTAAAGTGGTAAGTATTTCCCCCTAAGGAATGCTTACTATTGTATTTAAAGGACCTTCTGAGGATTGAAGTTAAAATAACAATGCATTTAGTCTCCTAAATGAAGTTTGAGCACATATTAAAATTGCAGCTTCTGTCAGAGATATATCTTTAAYGGAGGATTAAAATGTTTAGAGTATGATGTGTGCTATCCCATACATCAGATCATAAAAACCTTTGGCTTCAGCTGGCCCAAGTCTGAGCTGCACATGAGGTATCTGTTTTGTCTGGTTTGAGCCTCGCTTTAAAATCGAATTTGATTATTACTTTCAAACAAAGACCACTTCAAAGGCACGGTGCAGCTCCTCTGGATTCATCGTGTGCACGTTAATCAAACAGTGTTACGGTGATTCTGTAATATAAGAGGGTCTCAATTTCACAACGTGGGTAGTGCTCCGTTATTCTGCAGCGACACAGGAATTAATCAGGGGCCGTGCAGCAGAAACTGCTCTACTTTTACTCTGCCTCTGTTCAGATGGGCTTCCACCRCTGCATCTGCAAGATAGCTCACTTAAAAATAATCTGATTCAAGATGTAAAATAATCAAAATATTCAAATGGAATTGGCTAAATTTCCYAATAAAGCTCCTGAAGTGACAGTCGCCTAAAAAAATCCACAAACAAGGCATCCATTGTCTCATCCGCAGGACCCTCGTGCTGCATTCAGCCACTGCACTACATACAGAAACCATTTCATTTCACTCACACACACACACACACACACACACACACACGTGTGGATCTACGTATATGCAGTCTAGAGCCAGTGCATGAATGTACACTGCCATCTGCTGGTGGAAAAATGCATTTATAAGCCATAACCAAAGACATAAGATGGAGTATTTATTTTTCATGTATGCCAATTAAAGCATTTTTAAATATCTGTATAGTTTTTGCTTTATAAGTGACTATCCAGACACACACAGGCTCATTTTCATACACACTTACCTTAATCACTCGAAGGTGCAATGAGTTTAATATGACAGGTTTTAAATTCTAAAAWTATGCATTAAATGTTTTATCTAGACCCATGTTGTTTGGTTTATAGTCTTTACAGCTGCACTTCAGACTACCACCAGAAGACCAGACTGTGGCTGATTAGGTCTCCAATTTGATTAAATGTTTAATTATGTCTGAGAGTACATAAACAGCTGCTACAATATAGGCTTTAATAACATGTGATCAGGAATACAGTAAAACTAATTCTGCTCTTTCAAATTAAATATTTTATTCTATACTGTTATCAAAAACAGAAAGATTTGAAAATATTCAGTAGACAATGAACTGAATATATTTTATCAGCAGCGGCGGMCATGGTTCAGCTTATCAGCTAACAGATAATGGGGAAACAAATTTTCTGTTTAGTGCTTTTGCTAACTTTGAAAACGGTTAGAGGAGCTGTTAATTTAGGTTTTGCCAACTTATAGTCCGCTAACAGATAACTAATAAAACAACTTCTACAGTCCCATCGGTCTTCAGCTTCAAGGAGACAAAAATGTGTGACCCAGACTGAGTGACAGTTGGGTTACAACATGTATTTGCCTAATAAAGGATGATTTACGGGACGGGGAAACCCTGTGGCTGCCGCTGCTCATTACCTGGGCAGAGGATTCTATTTAAGTAAAGAAAAAAGAAAAAAATGTACACTTTGAACACTTTTTGTTGTTTAACAAAAACCTCTGTTGAGGAGCAAACTGTATTTTTTTGTGTTTACTTTAAAATTAACTTTGTAGTTGCAGTAATTACTTGTTATAATGTATTTTTTTTTTACCAGATAACTTGTTTCTGAAGAGAATAAATTAACTAATTATTCAGTCAGTTTAGTAATTAACAGTGATGGGCACAGCTAACCAAAATGTTAGCTTTGCCAACTCATAATGTGCTAACTACAAACCCCTAAACAGCCAAAGAAGTAAAAATCCAGCGAAGGCTAACACTAACTGTGTCACACGTCAATTTAAAAGTTAATAAAACCTCATTTAGCAGAAACTACTTGGTTCGGTTTTCAAAGTTAGTGAAAAAGTTTATCGGTTAAATTAAAAAAATAGTATTGCTCTTAGTTGCTAGCTGATTAGCAGAACCATGAAACTACAGCTGGTAGTAATTAAATGACAAACTAAACATGTTAAAAACCTTTATGTTAAATTGAGCCACATTCAATGAAAATATTGTGGTGCTAATATATTAAAGTGCAAAAAGTGTCCCTAATTTTAACTGTGCAGCCATTCACCAAATAAAGTTCTCATTTTTTTTGTTTATGATTATGCTTGAGAGAGAAACTGGAGTAAAATAAGTGAATTGTGTTCTGTTTCATGAATGAATACAGGCAAGAAGTACATGAATTAAAGCACATTGCAGGTTCTCTAAATCAAGGTAAAGGAGATAATCAGAGGAGACACTTACTGAGATTACAGTCTATCCTGATACAATCTGGTGAGAGAGAGAGTGAGATGGTGAGATTAAAAGAAAAAAAATGAGGAACAGCACAAAAGAGGAGAATATTTCACATCCTTCAAGGTATATTCTGCAGACAATCAAAACTTTTTCAGAGCCCACCATCCGGGGACAGACTCGAGAGTCTAAACCGCCACTTTCCTCTCTGCAGATTTCAGAACCAGTGAGAAGAAAAAAAATGTAAGAAAACTCAGTGTGAGATCAGCTCTGCTGGAGGCACAGCAAAGCCCATCTAAGTTAGGATCAATAAGAGCTTTATTGACCATAAAAGTAAAAAGTGCACCATCTTTTTTTATTTTTTATTTTATTTTTATTTTGTGTGTGTTTTCAGTGTCGATGTCAGCTCGGATGCAGCAGAGCGTGATTGTTTCAGCTACCGTGACTGATATATNAGAAATGTGGAGAAGTAAAAGTGAATTCATGCAAATTGTTAATTTGAGTTGGTGTTTTAAATTTAGCTTTGTTTTCAGTTTATTTTGTGTGTGTTTTCAGTGTCGATGTCAGCTCGGATGCAGCAGAGCGTGATTGTTTCAGATACCGTGACTGATATATTTACTGACATGTGCTCGGAGGAAATTCAGCATTCAACATTAAACGCTGTGAGGAAAGTCGTTGGAAGTGGACAGTAAAAACACACAAGTGTTTAATGTGCAGCAAAAAATGAGTTTTACCACCTAAACCATGGGTGTCAAACTCAGGGGCCACAAAACACAAAACTTGGTCTGAGCCTGTCAATATTTACTGGAAAAAAGGTTTTAATTTAGCAAACAAATTAGATTTAAAGAAATACAAACTCCTTTTTCCAAAATTACTACTTAAGCCTAAAACTTAATTTCATTTTCTGCAGTGAAGCTACAATTTTCGCAGAGATATGTTCTTAGACGAATTGTTAAAAAAAAAACTAACAAAAAACTAAATAGTAGATGCAGTCCAAAAAAGGCCTACAGTTCTGTTGGGTGGCATTGTAATGCAGCACACACATACCCACATCTATTTTGAAAACACCAACCTCATTCTTTTGTAACAAGTAAGGCAAAAAATTGCTGTTAGTAGTGATTTCTAAATGGAATTAAATCTGAAAATCTTTTCAAGACCCCTCTGACCCCAACTCTGGGAACCACTGATCTAAACCATCATAAAATCCTCACWTAAAGCAACTAACAAATGCGAGTAATAAGTTTTTATTGTTGGAATTTGCAATAAATGACCAACATCTCATCAAACTGACTGTCTGCACTTTTTAAAATCATGAATTGTTGAGTTGTGTTTTATATTTTGAACTGATGCACCTTTATTAAAAAAAATCAAAGAAAAAWAAATCAGACTTCTTCAGCTTCAACTAAAATTGCTATTAAGCCTTGTTGTGGTTCTTCAGGCTTAATGGCAATATATTTTTCTATTCCAGTATTAAATACAGAAGGAAAGCGGCGATTTGCACAACCTGCAGCCACGATGAAACTTACACCGTGAAAAAAAATAAAAAAATAAACCAAACATCTTCCTTCAGGCCAGCTTTAACAACTAAAGCTGCTAAATACCTTATAAATCCGTTATAAATCTTTAACTGCAGGGACTGGAAAAGAAATAAATTTGCTTATCATCCAGTCTTGTTCTGAAAAATTAAACCTAACGTGAAGTAGGGAGAACCCATCAGTGTAAGAGTCACGTGGCAGCGGAGTGCTCTCAAGCTGTCAACCATCACAGAGCAGTGGAAACAGACAGCCAGAGACCGGAGAGATCCTGCTTAGAGAGAGAGAGAGAGGGTGTGTGTGTGTGTGTGTGTGTGTGTGTGTGTGTGTGTGTGTGTGTGTGTGTGTGTGTGTGTGAGCATCCATCACTGGCGCTCCCTGCTCAGCGAAGTGACTCTAAACTGGACAGGCCAGTAAATGTGAGGTGATGGTACAACAATAGAAGCGTCCGCAGCGCGAGCGGTTTAAGTGGTGATATTTCAGAGTAATGATGGATCAGGTCTCTGACTGCCCTCTCCTTGAACTGCAGACAAGCCTTTGAAGGGCTGGAAAGAGCCGAGARGCTCAGGTGGGACCCGACCCCGGCGTGAACCGAGGGAGAAGAGAGAAGAAACAGGAGACAGGAAGAAGAAGCACCGTTATGGTAGTTTAAAAAGGCACAGCGCCCCTTTGGTTGCTTTTTGTTTATTCTTTTAATTGACATTATTTTAGTTCTGTGTTTGACTCAATTGGTGTTTTTGTGTTTTCATATCTTCTTAATGTTTTATAAAGGCACAAATGTCAACACTGTTCTGTTTCGTCAATCTTTGTTTCCTAAAACGAACGAGTCCAAGGGATTGTAGCTTTTTTTCCCCCAGTCGGCCTTACAGTAAATTGAAGAATAACTGGGTGTTGTTTGGGAGCTCTGATCTCTAGTGCCTAATAGGACCATGTTACCATGGAAACACAATGAGACTTTTGTCGAATGTCAAATCCTCTTTTTCTCCCCTTGTGCTCTCTGACTAATACTGTCACCATGAAATGAGGGCGAAATGTCAAAAAATGTCTTTTTAAAAAGGGGCAGGGAGTATCCAGTTTATTCATGAAAGCCCAAAAAGTCTTTTTGCCTAAGACTCTCTTAATCAAAACGTATAAACTAAAAAAATTAAAAAATAAAAAACGACAAACTGAAAATGAGCACAAGACCATCAGGTTTTAATTTTCACTAAATCAGTTTGATACGAGTCAGACAGAAATTGTGCTTTCAGAAAACAGAGTACCTAAACTATTAACAGTATGCTATTAATGCTAAGTATGCTTATGTGTTTAATGCTATATAATGCTATGCACATTATAGTCAATAGCTTAAAACTACCAACTAGCCATGTTACCTAGTGGCCAACAGCTAACGTATGATAAAATAATGAAAGTTCACCATCCATATRGTTATCATATATACCGTACAAATTATGTTAGTTAATTAACTAACTAGATAATTATAATTAACCAGCAAGTTGAAATCACTTAGTCACATTAGTTAATGGCCAGTAGCATCTTCTTTTAGCTTTTCCTTTTTCAGTGTTCGCCACCGCGAGTCCTTCACCTCTCTGTCCTCTGTGCTGACTCCAACTACCTCCACCTCTAACTYCATCCTGACCTGCAAGCTAACATCCATACAGCTAACACACATCATTTAGCCAGATTAGCAAGGAGCCACGGTCTTGTTAACTTCACAAATAAATAAGTTGACTCTACATGATGCTAATGTAGCTAAAGTTGCCTGGCAAATTTGTAATAAAATAGTAGTATTATTTTCCAGACWGGATGAAAGCTGTTGTAATGTCAGYATTAAATAYTGTGTTAGAATTTACTTTGAAAATTCTAAGAATCTTTTGCAAAATTTGCATTTGTTTTGAATACATTTTTTTGCAAGTTAATGAAATTGTGTAAAAGTCATGTGTGTGTACTTAATGTCAGTATTTCACAATGCATTGTGGTCTCAATAAATGCATGCCTACTTCCACTGCTTYAATACACTTAAGCTAAACAGTGTTCACACAGTATCTAACTATTTCAGCAACACACATTAAGGATGTTTTGCTATCATAACGTAAAGGCCTGACGCATTCCAGCACTTTCAGGACCATGGACTGTTCATTCAGTCCTTCACACTGTCTAAAGTCCTGAAGCAGTCCAGTACTTTCAGGAACTTGGACAGTTCCTTCAGCCTCTCACACTGTCTAAAGTCCTGAAGCATTCCAGTACTTTCAGGACCTTGGACAGTTCCTTCAGCCTTTCACACTGTCTAAAGCAGTGATTCCCAACCAGTGGTATACAAGCATGTTACAGGGGGTACGTGGAGTCACATGTGTAAAAAATAAGTAAATAAAAATAGGACTGAGATTGTAGGGCCCTATAATTTCCGCATTGCAGAAATTGCAGATGGATTCACGTAATGAACACAAAATGGAATCCAGCATAAAATGTGGAATCTCACAGAATTTGCCAATTTGGGTGAGTTTCTGACGTATTTTGGACTCTGCTGTTTTCTGCACCTGGCGTTGCCTGGTTTATTTATTTAATTACTTATTCACTTCGAAGGSAACATTTTTATCTTAATGTTTAATTTGAGCTCAAAAAATTAATGCATCAGAATTAAATGTTCTGGGAGTTAAATAAATACTTTTAATTTAATAATCAGTTGTAGTACATTATAGATTTGGAGAATCGTCATTACGTTTGACTGAAGGGGTACTAGTGGTATGACAAAATGGCTCAAAAGGTACACAAGTCTAAAAAGGTTGGGAACCACTGATGTAGAATACAAATAAAACTCATTTGTAAGTCAACTGTATATAAAAATAAATGGAGAAGTAAAGGAGCAAGAATTTAATGCTGACCTTGAATACCGGAAATTTCTATYAAAGTATTTTAGTTAATGATGCCCAATTTTACATTATGCAGTAATAACTATAAAATGCCAATATGGTTCAAGTTAACACCAGTAAAAAACAGGCAAAGAGTTTGAGAAGATTTTATATCCTACACTGTATTAACATTTACTGAAGTTAAGCCTGAGCATCAGGGATTAGGAAACAGTGAGATGGACACTTATCTGACAAGGACAGAGGGATAGTTTACATCTCAGTAAAATWAATCTGGGAGTAAAAACTCATATGATGTGTACTATGTGCATCTCTTGGGCTAGAATGTGTATGGTAATAAAGAACTTTCTTCAGATACTAACTCAACAACACAATTTCTGACTGACTCATACTGAAATATTCRTTTAATAGAAGATACACTTAAATATTTTTGTTTGTTTATTTAAAATCAACTTTAATACCAGAATTCTGACTTTAATCTGAAAATTTTGAGAAAAAGGTCAGGATTCTGAAATTAAAGCCAGAATTCTGAATAAAAGTCAGAWCTCAGAAAAAAATACATATTTTTGCTTTGTGGCCCTGGGCCTAATAAATTTGGCACAACTAAACATATGAAAGAAAAATCAACCATCCAGAGCATGAAGAGCATCCGAGGCGTGTGCTTCTCTTTTTAAGCAACCATAGTGATGGTGCATGTGGAAGGGTATGGGAGAGGAGCCTGACAAAACAAATGCATCAATTTTTCTGACTAGGTGACACATCCTGACAAGGTCAAGTGGAATGATCTGCTCATATCTGCTGCATCAGCTTTTACCCAGATTCACAGTGAGCTTGACTCGGCCTCCGTCCAGCTCCACGCGCAGGGTGTCCGCTGACTGCTGGGATGTGGTGGCCATCAACAAACCAAAGGCCCTCTGGGACATGAAGCGCAGGGACACGTCCTCAGCCTCGGTATGCAGCGTCCTTGGCAGCAGCACCTTCAGATACATGCTGCCGTCATAGCTCACAGCGGTGGCCTCTGTGGAGGGTTTTCAGGAACAGAACAGTTTAACGATATATAAGAATATATATAAGAAAGTCTGTATTCTCTTTTGAGAAAGAAAATATCTACAGGATGTGGAAACAACCATGTGGCCAAGGTTTCTATCGCCTTTTTAAACAAACTTCAGTCAAACTTGGACACCTTTTCTGGTGTGTTTGAAGACTTATGGTCTGCACATGAAACCACTAATTATTTAGCAGTGGGTGAAGGAGGAAGGGAGAGGAGACAAACTTTCTGTTCACCTGCCAACAAGTTTTTTTTCTCCCTTTTTCGGTTCATTCGCAATGATGTCAAGTTAAAAAAACATCTTTACAACAATAGAAAATAAAATATTTTACTGTAATTTTTTGTTGGCTCCAAAAAACAAAAAAAAAAAAATACTAAATACATTGTGCTGATGCAGCAGGTCTTTTTGTTTTTTACTAAATACAACACAAACAAAATAAAMCAAATACCTCTTGAGTGTCTCTGGACACTGCCCATTCCAAGCTTGGATAAAGAAGGAGGGTTTAATTCCACCACACATAACAGTGATTTGTTTTTGTTTGTTTATCTATCAGGAACCGTGGATAGCAGACCTTAATGTATAGTAAAGATGGACAGTTCTAGACAATATTCTGGCTAATTTCTATCTTTAGTCACTAAATATAAAGAAAAATCTAAAATTTATTTTAATTTAGATTTTTTTACATGAAACTACAGGAAAAATCAATATTATTTTTGTTTCTAGATAAAACATTAAAGTCACAAGTAATTTAATTAAGTTAAACAGTAATTATAAACATTATTTAGTGTTGTTCACTGACTTTTTGACTCTCCAACATTGATATTTATCTCCTAAAGCCAAGAGCACAATTACATTSAAATGACCAAACATGCAAATGAGATGTCATCCAGCAATTTTTATTACAGCAAATAGCTTATTTTCTTAATGAGGAGTTAGCAACAGTGCATGCCACCAGTGTAGAAGGTTTTTTTTTGAGAAGGTGTTTGTTTTAAGACAGCAGATAATCTTGAATAACTTAGTATGGGTTACTTCACTGAAAGAAAATTGGTATACAAAAAAGAAATAAATAAAAAATAAATAAAAACGGAATCAGCAGGTCAAAGCTATTRAAACACCAGAATCGGTGCATCTCTAATAATTTTAGATTGCAGTTTTCATCCGTCGCACCAGATGGCAGAAAAAGCCTGGAGCACGCAAAGACAGTGGCAAGACTGCAGCCTCAATTAAATTTCGGAGGGATTTATTTCCATCACTGTGCAACACAAGAGGGATTTTCATACATCCGTCATACTATTAGCTGCCAGTGGATCTGCGTAATTTGGCCTGCGTGTGAAAAAAAACCCATCTGCATGGAAAATGCAAAGTGATTTAGGCCAAATGACTCTGCTGAAGCATCACTGCATCTCTAATGAAACACACACAGCACTGGCAACCTCACAATACTCACAATTCATTAATGAATCACTCTGCTGTGGAGAAATACTGCAATTTACTTTAGAGTGGTTTTAAATGGGGAAAAATATTCTATTGTGCTGTCACTTTCTCTGGGCTGCTTTGTGAAAATAAAGTATTAGTTTGGAGGTGAGAGTCTGGCTCTCATTTAAATACATATGAGAATACAAAGTATGATCCTACTGAGTTTGCAAATAAAATTATTATTGTTTAGAGATTCTGAGCACTAGCCCGGATGATGAATTTTTTTCAGTTTCTACCTTATTTTGGTCCGTGAAGTCACTTTTTACACCTCGCCTAATAAATAAAATACTGCCCAAAGTGCGTTAAAAGCTCAACAGCAGCAACCCCCCCCCCCCATCCATTACTCTCCTTCCCAGAAACTCTTACCCTTCTCGCAGCTGGGACCTACGTAGCCGGTGCTGTTGCAGTCACAGATGTGGCGGTTCCAGCCCTCTCTGCAGTGTCCCCCATTGGCGCACGTGTCTCTGGTGCACCTCGTGTGTGTCTCCCTGGTGCAGAGGCTGCTGACACCCGTGGCACTCTGGACCTCGGCCAGCCTCCACAGGTTGCGGCTCTGCCCGTCGATGAACAGGTCTCGCACACAGCCAACGAAGCCGAGGCCCAGGGAGGCCGTCCACACCTCGGGGGGCAAAATGAGGGCCTGCCGATCATCGGGTAAACCTCCCAGGTACATATCTCCGTCCAGGTCGAGGATCTCGCTGCCTTCATTAGCGGTGAAGGGGATGCTCTGGCTGTTCACTGAGATAAAGCCTAAGGGGAAAGGCATTAGCACCGAGTCAATTCAAAGGGTTTGTTGCAGTGAAGTAAAAAAAAAAACAGACAGGTGTGTGGGTATCAAAAATATCAAAAAATATTGAAACGTGAGACTAAAGTATCGAACTGAGCCAAATCGTGAATTTTCTGTATCATTGTACCCCTAATGTAGAGGTATGATCCCAATATTGTGAACAAAAGTATGAACTAAAATTTGCTCCAGAAAAACATAAAAGTATAAATGACAAACATGTGCTCCACATTAGCTGAGAAAAAATCCCGCAAAGCAAGAAGAAGGAACGCCATGTTTCATTTGAAATCTGCTAATAAGTCAGACATTTGCATGGAACAAACAAGGCAGACATTTACCAGTTCCATTTAGGCTGAATAATTGGCCACTTGTGAAATAGGTTAACACAGATKTCAAAATGTCATTCGAAGATTATGGCAACTAAAAATATCATCACAATTAAAACCTAATATGCATGCATGTTCTACCGGGGTGAATAAGAAGCAGCACGAATGCGTGGATGTCACTGTAACCATGCTGGCATACGGCAATTTCACAGCTGGGAGCCCTTTATGCTCCAGAGCTAAAACCGGAGGAGCACAGGAGCAGACAGAAGGCTTCCGCCGCCTTCACAGAATGCATAAAATTATCTTACCATTGCGGCCCTTTCTCTGGAAGTCCACGTGGCACCACTCGCCATCATCAAGCCTCTTGTTGCTGGCTTTGATCTTAATGCTGCCAGAGCCCATATCCATGACCAGGTAGAGAACGCCGTCCATCAGCTCGATGGCGAAGAAGTCAGCGCGGGGCTTCCTGTCAGGCAGTGTCCCTTGCAGGGTGCCATGACTGAACAGCAGCAGGCCACTGGGCTCTGTGCTGCGGAAGTCAAAGGAAATGGCGCCCGTCTTCTTTGTGTTCCACCTGGGCAAGGTCAGGTAGGCAGGCGGCGTGTCAAAGGTGATCGGCTCCAGAGCTTCCACGTTTTCGCAGCTGAAGACCAGTTCGCCATGGATGCTGATCTTAGGGTCTCGCCGTTCAGCCATCCGTGACAGTTCCAGCCTAAACTCGTTATTCTTGTAGACCACCTAATAAATGAGAGAGATGTTGTGGTGAGCTGGCAGTTGGGAATGGGGGATTCGATTTGGTGTAAAGGTTGATTATTAGTCATCAATTTATTTCATGTATTGAGTCGTCCTTGAACTCAAACATCCCTATAATCCCCAAGAAAATGCCTGCACAAGTGTTTTTCACTCTTTGTTTTCAAAGAAATTTGAACAGGGAACCAAGCATCTTTCCTGATTTTTATTATTAACCCCGGGAAATATACTGTAGGCATGGGAGACATAAATACTGGAAAACATAGGTCTCAAGAAACATTGGTGTTGGGAAACAAATACCAGATAACTTAGGTAATGGGAAACACAGGTACCAGGACGCATGACTAGCAAGTTTAATTTAATAGAACTACAAGCATGTCAAACATAAATTTTACTGTTTAGCTGAATGTTTTTGTTGTGTTTAATTCTGATTATTTGCAGGTTTGTCATAAAACCACATTATCTAAGAACATTTGGAAGATTATCTCAGTTAAAATACAACTGAGAACAAAAAAATATATGTAAACTGGTTTCAAGTTGACAAAAAACAAAAATCGTGGACACTTGATCACAGTATTTTCAGACATTGAAGTGACAAAGTGTAGGATTATTTATTCAACTAAATCTACAAACTTTATATGAAAAGCTGGTATTCACAGTGAAGCATTGAAMAATCATCACAGTTAGCTGCTGCTATCTTGGTTTTGTGAAATCACACGACATGTGAGGGGTGGATCTGACCTGCCAGATGGTTTGTTAGATAAAACCATTCAGAAATGGCTCAGAAAAACTAAATCTCTTTAAAAAAAAAAATCCGTATGAAGTAAAATGACTGTCACAGCTCCAACAGTGATGAGACAAAGGGTTAGGATTTTTCAGTAATGCACTTCAAAACTAAGCAGTATGAGCTGCCCGTGCCCAAAATGCCTTACAAACATAACTGGAATAATTCTTTCTGGTAAGGTTTAGTTTGTGTTTGGTTTGGCCTCTGAGTAAATTTTAAGTAAAAGCTCAAAAGACTGAAAACAGCGTTGTATTTCTCAGTGAAATAGATTTTAGTCTCAACTAAAATTCAATTATTGCTCATTTTTCAACCAATGCAACTAGCTGTGTATTTTTRCACTGCACTGCCTTCTGATTTTATCCGGGGTTCTATATGAGTCGTCACATATCGTAAAGATCAAAGAACATTCCAGGACTTCAGGCAGCCCATCCATTTTCTTTCTTTTCTTAATTTTTCCTATTTCTTGAATCACAGCTTTCTGTTTTAACGTGGCAGCAATCCATTCAGTTTTTGCCCTTTTTTGAAACAGCTGTTAGCTCACTAACTCATTCACAGTGGTGGGAACAGCTAACCAAAATGCTAGCTTTGATAATTTGTAATTCATTGAATCTAACACTAACAGCTAACTAAGACACCTGTCACTCACCTGTGTCACACGTCTTTGTCTCCTTCCAGCTAAAGACTGGTGGGACTGACAAAAACCTGTTGATGTTAGCTTGTTAGTTAGCTGTTAGCGAACTTAAAGTTGGCAAAACCTAATTTAGTGGAAGCTAATTGATCCGCTAACAAATGTCAAAGTTAGTGAAAAAGTTAATCCGTTAAGAAAAAATTTGTTCCGCTATTAGCTGTTAGCTGATTAGCAGAACCATGCTCACCACTGCCTATTTAGAATAAATTGTGTTTTTTTTTTCAAACTGAGTTATCTACAACAGGTTAGATATCCATTGCTCATTTGCAACCTCATTTCAGAATATTGAAACTATGAAATTTAATTTATTAGGAAAATATAAGCTTTTCCCTCTAAATAATACAGAATAAAACAGATTTAACTTTTACTGTGTTGTCTTTATGTAGCAGCTTAATAAAGAACTTCTGTTTTCCATTTCTGAATGCACCACTATTTATTGAATATTTAACATCGACTGAAAAACAAAATAATAAAAAAAAGTATTGACTTGAATCAGACAAGCCATCTCCTGCCTGGAGCTAAATTCGACTGAATGCCTGCACAGGTTTCTTCTTTGTGTTGTATTATTTTTTCTTTGGCTTTCATTCCGGGTCCATCAATATTCACAAGACAACCCTTGTCTCATTTTGTATCGGTTGTAAGTCACTCCGCTGTTATCTGCCACTTCACTCCACAACCAGCCACCGCCTGAGGTGACACACCACGCTGCACACAGGACGGCAACTGCAGAGCCGAGAGGCAGCAGGAGCCAATATCACACGTCGCACTGCCTCCGTGTGACTAATTAGGCGGTGAAATCAGATGGTGAAAGTGACCATCAAGAAACGGGCGTAACAGGCAAATCTGAAAAAATAGTGAAGTCGGTCAAGACCGTCGCTTGGACAAAGACAAAACGCTCCACAGATGGGCACAGAAAAGGGGCGCGGTGACCTCTGCAGGACGATTATATAAAGCGAAGGACAATACAGTGAGAGGAATCCTATTTCACAGATTCAGATGCTTACTGTGTGTTAGATGGATTATAGAGTATCCCAGAACACAGGAATAAAGCTCCTCTAATGTCAACTGACAAAGCCCCTGTGTCATTAATGCTCGTGTTGTGAAGAGTAACAACACTCTGAGAATAAACCTCGCTCCTGTCGTCATGACTGAAGAGCTTTGAAGCATTAAAAGGCAGAAACCTAATGATGTGCTGTATGMAGTGTGGGGGAAACTCTGGACTTCAAAGACCAGATCTGTTTTCCCCTTGTTTGTTGGCGCGGACGTGACATTCGTCTGAAAGTAGCCATTATTCTGCCTTCGCCTGATGAACCTGATGGCCCGGAGTGCACCCTTCACGTCTGTTTCGGTGTGACGTTTGGAGACATTAGCTGTGGAAATAACTCCCTGCAAAGATCTGGTGTTTACACAATATTTCCCCCACTGCTCTGCTTTCTTTCCCCTAGTGGTTAGAGATAAACACGAAAACGTGAACTCCGTCCATTTTTCTTTTCTTGCTCTTCCCCCATGGTRCAGACCTTTGACCTGATCCGACACGTGTCTGATTCCGGCCACGACTCTTCCTCTATTGGGTCTTTAAAAAAAAGTCAGCCTATCTCAAAGCCTCTTTTTCTTCATCGTGTACTCTCTCTCTTTTCATGCCTACAGTACATCTGTGTGATTATGCACAGCAGTAGTAGGTCTGAACACCACCACCAGCCACACCGCCCACAGAGCGGAGGTTGGAGCACTGGCAGCYGCGGCGGAACAATAACCTGTCCATAAATAACATCTCATTTTCATTTCAGTGGATGCAGATGGCAAAGTAATTATGTAAACAGTCCATTTAACACCATTCAACAGATGAAAACAAATAAAAAGTGCTCTAAAAGATCCAGGTTACTCTTTTATAACACGTTTAACCACTACTATGACAAATAAATACACATACTGACTACTGTGACATAACTGTAATTTATCTCATAAGTAACAACCGGGCGTTCCGTCAACACATTTACCTGCATCTAAAATCATCTTATGATGTAATGATGGAGTTGTAGCTGTTTTGGTCAATTGCCAAAACAAAACAAAACAAAAKAAAAATAACAGTGGTACCTGTCCCCATGCAATACCATGAGTATTGTGTTGTGAGATATGCTCAGTGGGTGCTGATAGGCAAGGCATTTGGTTCTGTCATCCTTGGATAATTGTATGGGAAACAGTTAAATTTTTCCCAATGTGGTGACCTCTGAAAGGAGCAGCCYTTAGCTATAGCCATCTTTACGTTTGCTAAGGTCATGTAGCTGTGGCAGCCATATTGAATAGAGCTGACTCTAGAAATTAACTCTTGATGGACATCCAAYGATTACTTTCTGTTTCAATGAATTTTTGTCCAGTGGTTCATGAGATAATTTGGTACACAAACACAGCAGAAGCATCATGCTCAAACTTTATCTTATATGTTTGATGGGGGGGGGGGGGGGTGATATTAACTTGTTTATGGCTCAATAAAGCTGGTTGTAAGTGTTCACATACATGTCAAGTTGTACGGATTGACAATAAATTACACAGATTTCCATTTTGCAGGTATAAGGATGTACAGAGGAATCTCACAGATCTTTTTTCAAAAGCTCTGCTTCAAATTTATTTTATGTCTTAACACCTGTAGGATATAAAAAAAACAAATAAAATATAATAACCAACTCCCAACACTCCTGCCGCTAGAAATGTTTCCTACCTCTRCCTGTCCTCCTTTACTTGCTCCTCTGTGCTGCAAGCGTTGTTATTTCTGACCCATGTTTTTTCTGTCCCTGCAGCAGGCAGCCCCCTCTTGAATTATGTGTGAAAATGATGGATTTTAAGGCTTAAGATACAAGTAAAAGTCCCAAAGGGTTGACATGTATGTATGCAGTAAACATGAACTTCATTAAAATAAAAATCATAGCTTTCCTTGTGTTTCTTGAAGGGTCATCCTTATGTTCTTATGTTCCCCACTACCTACTGTATGTTTTCCCAGGGTAAATAATGAAAACCATGAAATATGCTTGGCTCCCCCTTCAAATGTCAGTTCAAACAAATGAAAGAAATATTGAGTTACAGTGCAGGCATTGTACCGGGGAACACAGGTATAAGGGAACATAMGTACTGGGGAACATAAGTATGGGGGAACATAGGTACAAGGGAACTTGGGTACAATGGAAAATAGGTACCGGGGAAGATTGGTACAACAGAATATAGGTACTGGAGAAGGTGTACAAGGGAACAAAAGTACAGGGAAACACAGGGACCATAGGTACAAGGAGGACTTTATTCTATAAGCTGCTGGTCGTGAGTCTGGTATYATTAAGCTCTTAAAGGGTCACAAACGTTTGAAAATAATCAAAGCCTTAAGTGTGTTTACAAAGCCGTCAAACCATTATAGGTCATGAGGTTGGCTCAGATCACAAGTAGGTTGTTGTATCACCTACAGCCATCGTGGAAAGCATTAGGTCTCATAAATAAAAGGTGGGGAGTGTCAGGAGCGCATTATTTGTGGTT